TTATCACATTTAACATGTCAAAATAGGAATTGGAGCAAAATATTCATTTTTTTTTCTTAATGCTATAAAAATGTACCGTAAAAATTTAATCTCAATATTTCGTGTACAGTCCCATTTTCTTAATTGTCGTATTCTTTCATAATGAGCACATTGATACTGAAAAACTTTATTACATTACTGCTAACGAAATAAATGATGAAAAGATTTTCTTTGTACGCAACTCAAATGTGTTAGAATGTTGTGCAATAAAACTCAATCATAATTTAAATGAGGCATTAAATTTCAACAAAAAAAAAAGTTTTGCTGATGAGATTTTGCAATTCGTTTTGCTACATTTACTTTAATACTAATATATTATTTAATTGCACCTAACTGGCAATGATATTAATTTCGGTGCCGTGAATTTTAACAAGTTGAAATGGAAGAATTAAAAATTTCAAAGTCAAGATTAAATATTTTATTTTCTGCATTCATTTACGGCATCAAAGAAGAATTAAAAAAATAAATTTATAACATAAAATTATTTTTTTGGGAATTTTTATTAGGGTTTGGTGTGCTTATGATGTCCAATTCTTTAAAGTGGTCTACAAAGAAGGAGTTTAGTCAAAAACACCTAGTAAGCAGGCTGATCTTAATTTTTTTTAGAAGATAACTTGAGTTTTTATCATATAAGGTTAAAAACTAAGAATTCCTAATATTTCAACAGAGACTGAGATGTCTCAGAGAATCTTGAATTAAGAGTCTCGTAGCTCCCTCAAATCATTGCCTCACAATCAACTGCTTCTGGGTTAAGTGCCCAAAAAGCTATTCTTGACAGTAAATTTATTTGCAAATATATTCGAGACTATCGATTTGATAGAGCATTGTATTCTATCATTCAATGGATCACATCTTAAACACTAAGCTCCATTCTTCGGCAAACGTCACTCACAAACAGAACCTCAACATTAAGCAAGCAAAGAGAGTATTTAATGTTTCAGTCTTTTTTAATGAAATCATCCCCGAGTGGACAAAGTACTAGTTAAAAGCTTGCCATTGACTTGCCTTTTCACGGCGAGTAAGTATCCATTGACGTGCCTTTGCAACTAGACTTAGGGACGACTAATGACATATTTTGCGCTTTCCATTTAACTGGACATAGGAATTGCAAATATGTCTAGTTAATGTCCAGTTACAAAAAAATCGAAATAAAATAAATAACACGTGTCTTATTCTCCATATTTTTTCTTTTGTAAAATTTTATTATTGTATTAGTATAATTAATTAATTAAAGTACACTATCACTTATGAAAAATCTCTAGTAAAAATTGAGTCTCGAACACTTGCGCGTGAAACAATTATATTTACTTAAAAGTTTCATACAAATTTTGGTGGACCTTATATAAGTGATTTCTGTAAGCGCTTGTGAAGTATATGGTCAAAAAAGTAAGGAAAATTATTTTTGAGTTTCGAACACTTGATTGATTAGCATGAATGTCCAGTTAAAGTCTAGTTAACGTATAGTTCTCTATATCGTATATATTTCGACAAGTTAAAAGACTGTTAAATGATTGTCCAATAATGGACTTTAACTGGCTGTGTCCACCCGGGATCTTATTTCATTCCAATTCAAAGAGAGATTGTTTCTCTTATTGAATCAACATATTGAGTAACGGTCTCCGACATTAAAGTTTAAAGCAATAATTAGGTAATGTTCAATGGCAACTTTCTAGGAGGTTACGAGAATATCAAGAAGCAGTTTTCTAAGCTTATCTGGATCAGAGTAATTGATAATTGTAATTGAGTTAGAGGATTTAAGATTTGTGGATGGAATCTTGTGGAGTTTGAGGTTTTAGGGATTAAAAATGGTGATTTTGATCAAGAACTTGTAAATTTCAAGCAAAATTAATTAATTTAATTTTTAATTTTTAAAACAGAAAAAAATTATAAGCATCCCATAAATCCATAAAATCCACACCATGTGCAATGACTCTAATTTACTTATGTCAATATTGTGTTATTACAAATTGATATAATTAATTAAAATAAAAATGCAGCTTTTCTTGTTTCACGTGTTTCTCTATAAGTTGAAGCAATAGACAGTATCAATAAAACTCGATGTTCATGTCAATTATTTATTCACAACATCCAATAGATAGCATAATGATGCAAATTTTCAAATCCGTTTTTAATTAAATTTCGCATACTTTTGACTTAAAACTCTGAATTGATTCCTTTATATCCAAAAGTTTATAATGATGAAGGTTGGTATCATATTACATAAGTTACACAATGCACAGTCATAATTTTTCCACAGTCATTAATATCCAGACTATTATTTTAACACGAATAATCCCATCGATCGTGAGAATTCTTCTTTCACTTATTGCACAACCTTTTGTTTTCGGAAGTCTTATCTCATTTATGTTTGGTGCTTTTGGATCTTTGTTGATTTTTTGATTACGATGTCTTTAATGAGGAGTTCAACTAAGCTAGCATGAATTTTTAAATATTTTTAAAAGTTCACATTAATTCAAGGTTGCAAGTTTATTGCTCTAAACCGAATTGTCTCTAGTTCCTTTAAGGATATTGAATAATTTATGTAGCAACTATCAATTCACAATCCTATGAATTATTTAAACAAGGATATAGATATCCAGAAATTAAAAATCACTATGTAGCACCACAAAAACCACAAGTTTTATTCACCGCAATTCATTTCACTTTTTAAAAAGTCAACAAAGAACCAGTTCCGCTTTCTTCTAGAATATTCCTTTCTTTTTCTTTTGTTCCAATTTTTTTTTTTGATTCCCAAATAAGATTTTTTCAATCTTTAAGCTTTTTTTTGTGTTCCTTTTCTTCTTCAATTTTCACAATATTGCACATCCGTCGGCCGTAACACTTGAAACAACACTGACAATCCGCAAAGTAAAGAAAAAAAAGAGACCAACAAAACAAGCAGAAGTAGTTAAAATGTCTGAGTTGCAACGGGTAAAGAAGAAAGAAAGAAAAAAATATTTTTTTATAATTTTTGCATGTACGGCTTGAAGCACAGCTGAGCATCAAGTGTGTTTTTGTTGAATTTTCTCTTTTTTAATTGTTTCCGATGATGATGTTCATGGATGCCTCCATACGTTTAACTGGTAGCAACTAACTTGCTACACACTTGACCACACAGCAGTCAGCAGTAGAAATACACAAAAAATATTAAATATAAAATATAATAATTTGTGTATGGAATGGAGAAAGAAACATTAAATTGACAGCTATTTCTCATTGGAAATCATGCAAAGATTTAGTAAGAAATGGAACTGAGATATGTGAAGTTACTGTTAAGCGCCACTTGGTGAGCATTGCATTGCAATGTTTACGATTCTCTCGATTTTCTTATTTACGAATCAATGGCAAGTCTAATGACGATGATCATGGAAGTAAAGATCATTGATTTCACTTCTTTATGCTTTCTCTCTCTTCACCATCATCATCATCATCATCAGTGTTGCTTACGCTTTATTGCATCTCTTAAGCATGTGCTGCTTATACTGATTTGTGGTATATGCTATTGTGTATTTGCTATGCCTGCTTTTTGTTAACAGGCAAAGAATAAAATTATGACTTTGATTTTACAATTGTGTATCTCGCACATAGGTAAATTATTGTGTATCTCTCTTTTGTACGCGCTCAAGATATGTGGATGATGTTAACAAGAAATGTGAAAAATTAACGAAATCAACGCAAGTGTTGCAGAAAGGAGAAGAAACGTAAATTTTCTTTTTATAAAGTAATTATGAATCTATTAAAGATGAATGATTAAGATATGATGAATGGAAGCATCGAGATGAAATGTGTGAGGTGAGAGTTGTATGTCAGTTATGACACTTGAGGTGATTTTGATTTCTTCCGTACTTTTAAAGCAATTCATTGATAATTGAATCTTTTCCTATCGACTTTTAAAGCAATTCATTGATAATTGAATCTTTTCCTATCGGCACACATTGAAATTCATTGCACCAAATTGCAATGGCAACCACGTGGCAACCAAGTGTGTGCCGGGCGGGTTTAGATGACTGATATGTGTTATTAATTTGTTGGTAGCATTTTGATTTGTTCGTATTTGTCATAAACATATCGTTAATTGTCTGCGACCTTCAGATTAAAGTTGCTTCCAAATCACTGATTACTGTAAGTTGTAAGAATTGCATGGTTGACAGCTGAGTGGAGTCAGACATGTTGACTATCAACCTGTGATAATAGTTGTAATGTCAAAAGTCATATTTTAACTAGTGAACACAGTTGATATGTTGGAGAGTGGCTTATGTTGATCAATCATGCAATATCAATGTCTATGGTTTGATAATCAGTTCAATTTAAAGCATCAAATGCCATTTCTTAGATTATTGTACATTGTTTTACTCTCAGAGGTCTGTTCCTCGTGTGTACCTGTAGACATGGCTAGAAGGGTAATCTGTAGTAGATAGGTCTGAGCATAGGGCTCGCGTTGAACTGATTATATGTGTATGACGGATAGCCGAAGTGAGATAAGTACCTCTGTAGCTGAGTTGCAGGGATCTCTGATCGAGTGGTCATAGATCGCCTCTTTTGAGGTCGTGGGTTCGATTCACATCAAATCCGACTTGTTTCACATTAGTATACATATATGGCAGTTATAGGGACCTCTTCAGTACCTTAGCCATTTATCGAAATATGACAGAGGAAACCAAACAATCCACCAGAACAAATTTCATAATCCCCAAACTCTTACAAAATCGTTGCCAACACGTAAAATAAACACAATGTAGTCATAAAAATAATAACATTCAATTTTAAACCAATTTTCATCTCATCGTTACGACGTCATCACCATTTTCATCTCAATTTCATCACATTGCAATTTTTAAAATCATTCATCATTAAATGAAATGGAAAAATTGGAAAATCATGCATTGTCGATGGTTAGTAATAAAATTATAAAAAAAATGAAAATTTCAATAACAATAAAAATGAAAGCATTATTCACTCACCAATTTAAACTCTTGCAGGAATGATTGTATCATATTTTGTATCGCCTGCGCTCTTGATGCATGCAGTGCATAACGATTTCCATTTCTCAAATTCAATTGGAGTGCTTGCGGTCGTGGTAGTGTAATGGCATTTTGTAGATCGGTGAATAAAATTGCCTTTAAGACCACCAAACTGTCATTTTCTTTACGACCAAGGAAAATGCCACTTTGATGTACAGCCAATATTGACACATCCGGAAATTGTGGGGAACCGTTGACAATAAACAATCGTGAGAAATACAATGGCCAGGTTCTCGCCATATCGACTAATTGACGCTTGACAATATTTCTCACCTGTCCCTTTAAGTTCTCCAAATTAACGCCATGACTGCTTAACAATGACAATGCTTGACGTTTTTCTTTCTGTGTGATGCGTAAGCATGGCCCATTAATATCGGTGACAATTTGTGCGAACAAAAGATCCAAAATAACTGGTGGACCGACATTTTCATTAGGTCTGAATACTTCTTTTTTAACTCGTAATTTCCATCCAACACGATTGTTGTATGTTAAGCATGATGCTGGACTTTTTAACATTGGCGCAAGAACAGGTTTTGGAATCGATGGTTGCGCAAAATCATCAATAATCATATCCATATCATCATTCGACCTATTATTATATCCATTCTGTTTCTCATTATTATTCATGAATTGTGATGATGGCACTGTCGATGCAGACGTCTTTCGATCCTTTTCCTTATCTTGTGCACTCTTTTGTGAAAACATGTGACTTTTGAATGTTGCTTTTTCTAGTGCTGCTGCAGATAACTTCTTATCTTGTTTTGGCTGATAGACCATATTGCTCTCACGTTCACGAAGAATTTGGGTCATTTCGCTTTGACGATTTTTGTCACGGAAATTAGAGCGGAATTGTTCATCTAAATAGAAAATTAATTGATCAGTCATGGTGGAATTTAATTTATTTTCACATATTTTAATGAGATTTCTTACCATTTGATGGAGGTCCTTCAACTTCCGTCCTATCCCAAACTGATTCTGAGAAATTTTCTCTTTCCCTTGAATGTGATCTTGATCGTCTATTAGGATCATACATTGCTTCCAACTTTGCAGCTTCTGCACGTCCCCATGAGTCATCAAAGTCTTTGACACCAAAAGTATCTCGTTCATGCCGTTGAACAAATGATGGAATTTTCTCCTTTGCAGTTTGATTGGGACGAATTGGAGGTGGAGGAGCTGGAATACTTGGAGGTGGCATAAATGGTTTTTGAATCTTTGAACTTTCCATTTTTTGCACATGATTGCGAACTCCACCAAGTTGTTGCTCAAGCATCATTCTTCTTGCTTCATCAAGTTTTACTGGTGCTGGCATTTCTGATTTGTTGCTATTTGTTGAGCGCACGGAATGACCTGCAGTTACTTGTTCTAAACGTTGACGCATTTCTATTTTTTAAAAAACATGAGACATGAACATTAAAACATTGCAACATTAAACATTGAGTCAAAACCGTTGGTTTTAAATCCAAAGATTAATTTGTAAGCTTAACTTAAATGACTTTTCTATTTTAATTTTTAAGCTTTATTGTTCAAATTCAAACTCACCTGTGCTTAATTTGAGTTTACCAACACTTCCTGGAGTTGGTCTTTCAGCTCCGATATCAAAACTTCTCTTCTGGACACGGGATACTGGTGTGCTGATTGAAGTCTTATTTAATTGAGGTTCAGATTTAAATCTTTCCTTCGACTTCTCAACATTACTTGAAGATGCTGATATGTCAAATTCTTCCCATTCAATAGCATCAGCACTTGCACTCATACTTTGTGGTGTCATTTTACGTTGATTTTGTCTTATTTTAAATGAAATAAAGTCTTCAGCTGAATCAGTGAGATCACCAGCCGGTGGAGGCCATCTCCATTTACCGATTCTGACAGTTTTAGCACGTCCATAAGGATCAAGGAATGGTCTAGCTTCTAATGGATCTGCCCATAAATTCTCTGGAGGCATTGGAGGTGGAGGTGGTGGAACGCTGTATGAACTATCATTTGAGGTCTTTCTAGCTGTAACAACTGCTGCAGATGCTGTTGTTGTTTTAGTGATAATTTTTGAATTTCCTTGATTTACAGTCGTTGTTGTAGTTTCATTTTGTTGAAGCAATAAAGTTTGAAGTGCTTGATTTTGTGCCATCAATTGCTGTTGAATCTGTATGTTTTGCTGCATAGCTGATTCTAAAAACGCTCGTTGAACTTGAGTCTGATATGGTGAATCTTCTGAACCGCCTTTTATGGCATCAACAAGTTCCTCTTTTTCCGCTAGATTTCTTACATTCTCATTCAGGAATATTGGTTGGAATAAATCAGTTATATATTCATCAAGTGACTCGTCTGGGACGAGATCATCATCATCATCCCCACCACCTTTGATAACTCGACATAATAAATTAGCATTTTCGAGTGCATTAACATCATCATTGAGTATTAATGGTGCTTCTGAGTATATACGATAGTCATTCATTTCGCCACCACGAATACTTGCAGCTAGTGACCGAGCATCTGATAATTCATCAAGTTGTGTGTCTAATACAGGACTGAATAAATCATCTAAAAATTGATCAACATCACTTGCCTGTGATGGAACTCTCAAGCGTCTCACATGACTTGCAAGACTTGGTGCTTCTGATGTATCAGACATGGCTGAAGATCGAATTAGCATTTCATTTCGTTCAATGAATTTACCATAAGGATCCATTGGACGTGCTTTCATTGATGGTGGTTTCAAGTGTCTTGGTGTTGGTTGCTTTAATGGTGCAAGACGTTCCACTGAATGATATCTGTCATTTAATCTTGATTCTCTTGATAAACCAATGTCATTTAAAGGCTCAACAACAACTTCAGGAATAGTTGGTGCTTCATTATCGGAATTAATCAAATTGTCCAACGATCTTGATCTTGATTTTTCAATTTCAAAATATCTATCATTTAATGCTGAACTTCTAGATAGTAAATCCATTGAATTTTTACGATTAGGTGTGATCTGATCTGGTCTCTGTGCATAAATTGCATGAATTTCCTCACGTTCAATTTTATCAGGCTGCGATCGTGTGACAATCTGATCAGTTGACACAAGTAAATCATTTGTCGAATTACGTTGGAATGGAGGATCTGGAGGTTTATTTTGTGGTCTCTTTTTAACTGGACTGCTTGGCTCATTCTCACTATTTTGTCGAACTGGTGATGGAATTCCATTTTGCTTTTTATTTTTGAATAAATCATTTTTGATGGCTGGAAATGCTGGAAGTAATTCCTTCTCTCCGATTAAATCAAGAACATAATCTAATCCACAAGTGTCTGAGACAATTCCATTGTCTTCCATTACAATCGACCATCCTTGAGTTTGTCCATTTGTTAGCATTGCAAGGCTTAAGCCTGCTGCTTCTTCACAAGTTGTCCAATGATCGATGGCAACAGTTTGAAGTGAGTTATCGGGAAAAACTAAGCCAAGAGCTATGTCAGATTGTCGTGAAGATGCTCGCCATTCTAGCCAAGATGGTGGATAATTTCTTGCTGGTGCCTGACTGTTTGTTCTCAACAATTTCTTTAACATTGCTTCACGTAAAGGTGGAGGTGCATTGTCATTAATGAATTTCATCAAATATTTACTGAATGCAGCTCCAGGTTGGAAGCTGGATAGACAATGTGACATCAAATGCCAAATTCGATTTGCATGATGCTCATCAGTATGATAAGCTTGATTGCAAAGTTGAACCAATATTTCATCACGTAGATTTTTACTTGCCAATCCTTTGTGAATAATATAATCAGCTAGAGCTTTGTCTTTATTGCCATCTAATGTCGAATCTCCAGTCCATCGAAGAATGAGTTTGAATATTGAAATTGCATCTTGAAAGTCTTGATCTTTTGTAGCAGCACGTGACAAGAATGGTGCACTAATTGGATCTTTTCTTGGCTGTAATTGAATGCCGTTACAGTAAACTGAACTAAATTTACCGAATGCAAATTGATCTAAATCGTTTGGCATATCAGCTGTTTTCATTGGACCTGGAATTGTTCCCAAAACTTTCACCAAATGACGATCACCATGAATCGGTGTCCATCCATCGATCTTTGAAAAAATGAATGCCAATTCAGCTGGGACATCGAGGTGAACAATTTGATTTCTTTCTTGCATCTGTTCCTTTTGAATACGCTGAACAGCACGTTCTTTTTGCATTCTCTCAACCTCACGTCTTCTCTTCAACTCATTCTTAATCTTTTCATAACGTTTTCTTTCTTTGTGACCTCTAAACAATGCCTGTGCCTTTGTTACTCCTCTCTTTAAATCATCATAACGTTTCTGGTCTCTAAAGCGGCGCCAATTTCTCTGAATGACAATGGCACTATGTTGTTGACGAACTGACTTTCGTTTGTTTAATAAATTTCTCACATTCTTTTGTATGACAACGGCTGCATTCTTAAGACGATCAGCACGATTATTTTCTAAAAGACGATGGAGTTGTTCGCGTACAAAAACGCGAGTTGCACCTATTTGATAGTCATCTTCTGTATTTGGAATGGATTCAAGAATCAAACGACAAATGTCACGGTACGGTATACCACGAGGAATTGGTTTCTTCATTGCATGACGGTAACGATCTACAAAATGTTGGAATTTCAATCGAACCGGATAGCCATTCTGACGTATTCGAACTGTGTCGAGCATTCCAAGATATCTTAATTGATTTAAGACACACGGCATGTCCATTCTTAATGCTTGCTTGTCATTATTTGGCTTTATACATCTCACAAACCATGGATTACATTTAGCCATTGTTGCCATTAGTGTCTGTAACTGATCTGAAAATCTTGCACTGACTGTAGGCGTTCGAGGTTTCATTGTAACAAATCGTCCATTAGATCCACGTGGTAGCGACTTTCCATGATCACGTTGTGCTTTCAAATGTTTTGTCAGTTCTTCTATTAATGGCTCATTACTGGATGTTAATAGTTCAAGGACATCGTGTCTTAATGCATCGCGATTCTTTTCAAGAAAACCTTCGACTGTATACCATACCTGGCCTGCATAATGATTAATACCAAATTCTTGTCCACCTACAAACATTATTAATGAATTTTATGAAAAAGTTTACATAATGGAATTAGCTTTAAGCCTCACCTATACGTGGACGCGAATATAATTCATTTAATGCATGATTGTAATGACATTTTTCAAGGAAACTATTGTCAGTTGCACGAGGAAAGTTTGATTCATCATCCAATATATGAAATATGCCATGCGGCTTCTTTGCCAGCAAATGAATGACTAAAAGAAACAATTTCAAGTTATTTCCATAATTTATAAATAAAATTGAATATTTAAATACCTGGCAAATTATCTTCCCATCCCAATTGAGTCCATTCCAAGCGCTCTTTTGCATATTCAGCTTGTTCCAATTTAAAGATATGTTTATTAAAGTATAAATGTAAACTTTCATTTGCATAATTTATGCAAAGCTGTTCAAACGAGTTCTCTACCATCGACTCAAAACCGAATATATCCAATATTGAGATTCTATGAGCATCATGTGTTCCACCTTTATGAATTATTGAGTTAATACGCAACACAAGCCTATAAATAAGATTGAAAATAAATTACAGTCTGCGATGTGTTAATTTAATTTTTCTCACCAATTAAACAATCCAGAATAAAGTGCCTTTGCGAATGCATCACGAGTATCTAAAGCTTGATCAATCGAAAGCGGTGTATGAAGTATTTCGCTACGCGTTTCTGTTATGCGTGATGTCAATGCACGCATTAGACCATCGGAAGGTACTTGGAGGAGATGAGCTGCATGCATAAAAAAATAAATGAAAGTGGAAATGAAAATGAAGGTTGCATTAATTCCAATTCCAATGAATTTAATTAAGTTTTTATGAATTAATTCGGTAATTAAATGCGAATTCATTTCGGGCAATTTAATAAGAAGTTTGAATTATTTTGGTTGAATGAGGATTCAATCCAAACTCATCAATTAGAAATTGGACTTATGGTTTTGCATCTCAATTGAGTCAGTGTTGCTTTTGCAATTGTAAAAGCTAATTACATAGAAATTTTCTGATTAATTCCTAAACGTTTTTGATAATAGTTAAGAAACTGACCAAAAAAATCAAATTTAATGACCAAAAATCCACCAATAATTCATAAAACACATCCACTTACCAGCCCATTTAACCTCAGCCGTAGAACCCAACTCAACAGCTTCTGATCCATGCTTTAATTGTCTTCTATGGAAATATATGTTTCCTAAATGAAGAACAGCTGATAAAACTCGAACAATTCCTTCTCGTTCACTTTCTGATAATCCTAAAACTTGCATGGCACCTTGCAGAGAATTCCAATCAATTCGACCACTAGGAGAGCAGTCGGAATTGCCTTGATTAAGATAAAAATACTTGTCGGCTTCTAAAAGGCCGTATTTTGATCGTTCAGTTTCTGAAAGTCCACCTAATAGTTCATAGAATACATGATAATTTCTCTCTCCTTGTGCTTGTGTTACAATACGTGACTTTTCCAGTAAATATTGAGTAATTTTTGCACCTATAATGGCACCGGATTTGAAATAAATCTCCAAATACTTTCCAAATCGACTCGAGTTGTCATTCTTAAGTGTTATGGCATTTCCAAATGCTTCTAAAATTGGATTTGCTTCAAGTATTTGTTCTGTTATAAGAGCTGATGCTGATGAAACACCGCCAGACGCGACTGCTGCTAAATATTGCATAACAAGTTTCGTTGATTCAGTTTTACCTGATCCAGATTCTCCAGAAATGACAACAACTTGTGGTGATGGCAATGCTGAATGTGCTGCCTCACCTATAGCGAAAAGGTGTGGTGGAAGTACTCCAAGTGGCATACCTGCATATTTTTTCGCCATTTCTAATCCATAGAGATCTGGGTACATTTTATAAGGATTAACAGCTATAAGTATGCTTCCACAATATGTGTAAATTCCATTTGAATATAAATTATCGTATCTCAATCTCAAATTCCAAAGCAATGATGCTTCATGCAGATCTGTTATTTGTGTTAAATCTTCAACACCATTTTTTCCTAAATCTTGTCGTACCATAAAATTCCCATCGGTCATTGTAAGTGTAAACGTTTGTGGCTGCAATTATGAAAGAGTGAAAAAGGTAAAATGAGTTTAATTAATTAATTAAGTTCACAGCATTGCACAGAATTTCATAACAATTTTATAGCTTTATATTTAGAAAAGTGCATGGTCGGTAGATTGACTGATTGGGTTCAAAGTATTGCAATAGTTTGGTTTAAAAATGCTGAGCTGTTTTTGGATCTTGGAAACAATTTTGAATGGTAGATCGAGATTTTATTCTTTTTGTGGATGCAGTGCTGGAAAAGAGACTAATCTGGGGTAATGAACTATATGTAGGAGTATCTGACAGTGCGAAAGTATGGAGACTGTGACTGATTGATTAAGGAATAGACCGGAACTCTCAATTCCTTTAATTTTATGAGAAGGATGAGTTCCATTTCTAGGACAAGCTGATATCTCAATAGTTTAATAGAAAACAGTCAACATGACAAGAATTCGAACAGTGCTGATGCCATAACTGTGGATACTCGATGAAATGAAGCATAAATGCGCTTCAAACCCCAGCCAACCAAGCGACAAAATCAAAAACTTTCTGCCACCATCATGATCTCGATCACGTAATAATTTTAATGCGTACATATTTCGCAAGAACATCACTGCATAACATAGATAATTTTTTAACAGTTGGCGGATAGCGCGATTTCCATTGAAATTTATATTCTCGTTTCTTCTTCTTGCATCTGACTTTTTCCATTTTGATTTCATTTATTGCATCTGCCAAACGCTCTTTCCCATCCACAGACGAATCTTCATCAAGATTTTCATGCTCTTCAAGTTCTTCCATTTTCGGCATTCTTTGACGTCGTCGAAGACGTGGTGAAAGGAGCGCTAGTGATGCTGACGGTGATGGTGTTCCACCTTTTTGACACGATTCCAAATAAAATCTAACAATTCGCATTTAATAATCTTTTCATCATCAATTCTTATTTAAATGTCTTATTCTTGTGTCTGTTAACGAAATTTTTATGAAGAACATGTTTGATTTGTCAGTAACTGTAAACTGAATATGCATGTAAATTCATGTCTGACATTTAAATGTGAAAATTTACACTTTATGAATGGAATGTCTTTTAATGTATGCACAAGTTATTTTGTATGACTGATTGATGTTTGTTTTGAAGACTTTATTTGCTTGATGTTCTTTATTTGGTGCTTAATTAATAAGCACATCTATATGATCCACATTTGTAGATTTCTTAACAAATTTAAATTTAAAGTTGCAGAACAAATTGAGATTTATTAAGGCACAAGTCTTTAAAAACATCACAGCAATATAAGCAGCTGTGACCAGCACGATTGAAAGATTCTAACTGAGAATAATGCAATAGAAAGAAATTAGTTTTTCTAGCTGCAGGAAGATATTCAAGGTTAGGAAATGTTCAAGCTACAATCTTGCCAATTTCTGCATAAATTCCTCAAAAAGTCATAATCAGCTATGATCACAGACAATCTCACACAAAACCAGATTTGAAAGTCTAAGATATTTGCATAAAATCAGCATTCCAAACCCTGACACTAATAAACCATTTCGATTAGAACATGCAATACAGTGCAATACATATAATTCCGACATCTATAGATTCCTACAACTAATAATCCGGTTTATACTGTTGGAAACCAACAATTTCTGCAATTCTTATGCAACAAGTTTTTTTCTTGCGTCTATTACTTCATGAATGGTATATACAATTTTTTTAGATGCATGCACATCGTAGGAAAGAAAGGTTTACTTCTTGATTATTATTTTTTTTTTAAATTAATAATAATTTCCTCACTTTACTCACCTTTCCGTCAATAACAGTCGAAACAATAACAATTTGTGCAGCGCGATGAACCTCAACGATTTCACCGGGTAATGGAAAGTTAAAGCCTGCTTCAAACCACACCAAATCTCCTTGTTGAAGATTTATGGTTGGCTGAGGAGGCGATGGTGATGATGATGAAGTCGACTCGTCCATGATTTTTTGGCTACTCTTTGAGCGCTTTTAATTGTCGGATGGATGGGCTTCCTATAAATTGAGAAATAATTACTCTTTTAGCATTGAATGTATTTAATTATTATTTCTTGACGATACACAAAAGCCAGAAGTAGAATGTAATAGTTTAGCTGTAAAGCTAGTTTAAAGGGTCAAGATCTTGTACTTTACCACAACTCGTCAGCAAACTTTTTGACCTCAACCAAAAAAAAAAAATAAAAATATTTTTGCACATTACAAAAAGGTAACCAGTTATACAAATTCACATGAAGTCAGGGATTAAAATAAGCATTGTTAAATCATTCTTAAAAAATTCTTGACAACCAGTTTCTTGTTTGTTGATTCAAAAATTATTACTTATTTAATTCTTGTTGGTATTTGTGAATGTTTGCAAAGAAATTCATGAAATATTGAATCGTAAGTAAAATGTTGGAAATGAGTCAGTCATTAAAAAGCTATTATTTTCATATTGTCATGTGACTTTAGATTATCGTGACTTAAACGTTCTCGATTATAAAGAAAATTTACTTTTCGCAAAAATTATCCTCAATTGGATAATTTGTTGAAGATCAAAAATGAATCAAGAACTTATTTTATGATGCTTATCTGTACTTTATGCTTTCTGAAGTATTCAAAGTTTTTAAACCTGAATTTTCATTTGCATTGGTTTTCAAAGTTGCTGTCTAAGCAAATGAAATGTCTCGAGTCTGAGAGCAAATGTAGACAGATTGAACTTAAAGTCAACCAATATAACATAGAAAAATGTCGGTTAGACATAAACTCACAAAGTGCACAGCTTCTTAAGAGCCTTGAGTAAATATGTTGCATTAAAAAAAGTTCCTGCTGTGATTTCACCTCCACAATAATCCAATTTTATTTTCAATTGAACAGTAATTTTTATTGAATGCTTCCAAAAACTCTAAAAGTTTATAGCTGCGAAAATGTTACATAATAAAAGATTATAGGATGGGCTTTGAGAACAATGGAATTCTTATTATATAAAAGAAGGAATAATGAAAAAAATTAGACAATTTTTGAAGATGACCTCAGATCGTCCAGCTTAATAAGAAACTTCAAACTTAAAGAATGATTGAATCTAAACGCATTTATAGTCATTTTAAGATTTACACTGATCGGAACAGGGGGAAAACTACTTGGATGGTAAAAATTTGATGGAAAATTTACCATTTTTTTCCATTTTTCCCATTTTTTGTGGGAAAAATGGTAAAAAATTGGAAAAAAATTTGAAAAAAATGGGAAAAATGGTTAAAAATGTTAAAAAAAAGATAAAAATGAGAATTTTACCTTTTTCCATTTTTTTACCATTTTTGATGAGAAATTTCTTTTTTTCCCATCAAGTAGTTTTCCCCCTTGATCAGAATTATTAATCTCTGCATAAGGTTGTGTAATGTCGTTCGATGCAGAAAGTTAAATGCTTGTTTTTATAAATTCAGCCTTGCTTAAACCTTACTTTAAGCTGGTTACAAGAAGAAACAGAAAGAAACATTTAGTAGCTTGCAAGCTAGTTTTTGCAGTATCTCAATTTATCAAACAAATCCAAATAAGCAAACACAAATATTATCAAAATTCAAACCGTAAATTATTTTCGCACAAATAACAACAAAAACCAAAATTATGTTATGTATTTTTTTCAGCAACAATCTTACGAAGGCGTTTACTATTTTCAACCAGCTAGCTGTAATTTTATTATGTCAATCATTATCGAACAATTCGAGTTGCTAAAAATATCAGTAGAGTAAGAATAAAGCTGTAATGAACTTCAAACAATGGAACCAAAAATTTATTCATCATGTATCAGCCCAAACACAATTTATTTCCATTAAAATTCTTCTTTTTATCATTTCTGTAAGCTGATCTCCGACATGAAAGGCATTAATTTCATTTCCTTTGCAGATATCCGAAAAAGTTTTCTTCTTCTTTTTTGTCGATGATTTTTCGTCTTAATTTCCATTGACTAAAACTATGATCTGTGTCTCTTTTGTCTTCCTCTACATGACTGTTGGATTATAGAAAGCATTTAAATGCTTCAATGATAGTAGCGGAGTTGGAAGTTTTTGAGGAGAGTCTGAATATTCTTGGGGATAGGCTTCAATTTTAGAAGCAATTGAATTTATTCTTCTTTGACATTTAAGTCTTATGGAAATGATTCAGACCTCTAAATCCTCCCTAGCTACACTCCTGCTCTATAGTGGCAACATGACACAGTTTCGTAGAAGAATTGTTAATGAATCTTTCATTTCTTTCTTTTCTTTTTTGTCTCAACATTTTTATTTTTCGAGCGTGTACGACAAACTTTTATTCATTCTTCATTAATTCACTGTAATTTCTTCATTATTATTCCATAATTTTTATATTCATCACTCTACGTTAACGCTATTTAATTTATTATCTCTTGTTAGTCACTTTAGTTGCGTTAGAAATCAACTGTATGTTGATGATCTTAATCAATCAGTTTCATTCATAAAAGCATGTAATTATTTAAACCATCTTTTAAATTTTTTATTTGACTTACTTTATGAAAATGTTAGAGTCAATAATTTCATGGCTTAATTTGTTACAATTGTGTCTATTTAAATTTCATCGAGTCGTGACCAGCATTATTATGTTTGTTTTATGAATCAAGTTTACTATCACTTTTTTCATTGTAGGTTACATCCAAATAATTGTGGAATCGATGTCGTCTGTGAGTTTTCAATGTGAAAATAATATGGAAGTTGATCTACATAAAATTCGATTGTTTACATTTAGAGTGAAATTAGTAACATAATAATAGGAATGTGAGACATGCAATTTGACCCTGCCATTGTTGGATTCGAGGGAAATTGGGTTAAGTTGTTTGGAGTCAAGAGTTTGTTTGAGAATGAATTTGATGTTTTTTGATTATTTACTGACTCTTAAGAATGCTAAAGTTCTAGATTGGATGGTTTCAAGCTCTAGCAAAGCTTTTTTTGTATTAAAGCTTGTGATCTGAGTAAAAATTTGCCCAAATGCATTCATATCCAAAATATCGACACTCTACAAACTCTTTCAAAAAATCATAAACAGCATAAAATCACAAATGTTTAATAAACGACAGTGCAATGCACTCAAGCTTAAACAGCTCACAATAATGTTTCCATAAAAGAGAACAAACTTATTACAATTTAAAGAAACAAACAGAATTAAATAATTTTTGATGAATTTACACAACTTAACAAGCCTTCTTGTCATGCTCAGCACAGAGAACCTTTTCTCTCCCCGCTTACTTGAATCTGATGATTGTTTCTGTATTAAGTGTGGCAATTTCATAAGAAGCATTAATTTCTTGAGTGACGAATGAAACATGATTATTTTGGTAAGTAAAGTCACACCGTGTGTCATAAAATAAACATTAAATTAGCTTCTCAAATGAAAAGTTTCTTTTGGCGCGCGTTGAAGAAAATAAAAATGCAGACTAACTGTTGCCTGCTAATGTCATTAAACTGCTGTGGAATGTTTCTTCTTTTTCTTACGTTTTATGCTTACGTTGCGGCTCCGTCCGTGAAGCTGAAACTTACAAACTAATCGATTTTTCTTCTTTGTCTATTCCATGTGTTTGTGGTTATTGATTTTTATTCATTTCTTCACTTCTACTTCTTTGCCTGTTTGGACAAAATCGTATAATAAATACTTAATGATAATTCGAATGAAGAAAATTTATTTACAGTTAGACTAGCTTGAAAAAGAAAGTTTTTTTCTTGATTCATCAGCTTGTTAAGGGCCAATAAATTAAAAATTTTTGATGTTTTACATGCAAATTGAAATAAAAGATTTTTTTATGCTGAAATGCACAAACTATTGTTAAGTGAGAAACTATTTTCACTGAATTTTTAATCAATCTTCGTTTTGCAAATTTTATTTTATGGTTTGTAAATTTTGAGAAATGTAGATTGCGTAAGATTTATGAGAATTTACGATAATTATAGTAATTAGCTATTAAATTGAATTAGGCTGAATATGCGAAATTTTTCAATTTTAAAGTGCATCAATCAAATAGTTTTGAGTTCAATTTTGCGGAACTATCAAATATTTCATCTTTAAGTTTTTAAATCATTTGAATTTTCAAAAAGTCTCTGAAGCAAAGGTTTTGAGGTTTGTTTACCAAAAACTTACATTTAAGGAATTTTAATTCAAATTGAAGATTTTAATAAATTCAGTTTTTTTTCTTCATTCAACTAAGGTTTTAAGTAACGGCACTAATTACTGATGCTTGGTATTTATATTTTATACATTTAAACACTAGAACTTAAAACCTTGCATTCAAAACGAATACAAAACAGTTTCTTACAATCTCAAATTAAAAATCTCATAAAATATACGTAAAACTTCAACAATATGCAGCCCTTCGCCCATTAATCGTCCATCAAGAATTCTTATCTTAACTTTAAATCTTTTACATCTATTTAGTTCTGGCATTCAAGCGAAAAATGCTCTAGCATAAAAAAAACTTAATCGCTTTCATGCATAATAAAAATAATTTGACATCAATTATAAATTACACTGGAGCTTTCCCACACATTAGCGTGCCATGTGTATATGCATAAATAAATTAACTGACTTGTTAAATAAAAAATATGAAAAATTTTCAGACATAAAAAAATTTGTATTGTATTTTAACGCTTAATCAATTGGTAGAAAAATAAATGATTTTTTAGCGCCAACACTTTCGCTTTTACACTGAAAAGCATAAAGTATGCAAGTTACATGCTAGAAACACTCAAGTATGATTTTATAATGACTTCTGAACATCATTTACACTTACTTTATTTACTTATCATTTACTTTATTTTCATTTACCATCAACTCTCGATTTTCATGATTCCCTTAGTTCTTCTTCTTTCTTTTTTGGTTCTTTGACCTTTTTGTTTAATTAAGAAACACAATAAATTACTTTAATTATCAATTGTATAACGAAATTCACAAAAAAAGTTTTGTTTTAATTTTTTTAACAAGCCTGATTAAAAGATACAAGCTAGTTGGAGTTCCGTTTCTAT